TCTTGTCTGACCAGGAACAGGCAGGGCTACTGTTGGATCATCAGACCATTGTATTGCTGGCTGCTGAAAGGACCCAAATGGGAGAGTGGATCATTAATATGAGAACTCGATAAGATGATTTAAAGTATTATTATATATATATTTTTTTAAAAAATGGACAGAAGGGACTACAAAAACATTTGCACAACATGATCTTGTCTGACCAGGAACAGGCAGGGCTACTGTTGGATCATCAGACCATTGTATTGCTGGCTGCTGAAAGGACCCAAATGGGAGAGTGGATCATTGTGTGGAGTTGTTTCCTTGACTCCAAAAATGTTTTTGAAATTCTTCTCAAATTTGGCTTCCAGTCCAAGGCCCAGCCTGTTGATCTTTTTGTTCTGAAAAGGAAAATGCAAAAGCAAAAATAATTACAGCTATCATTCAATAAGCGTACACTACCAATGTGTCAGAGAATCTGGTACCTCATCTGGACTATTCCAGACATTAAGTAAAAATTAATCCAGTTCAGAGAAGTTTATGTTCCCTGTTTCTCTTTGTCCCCAAACCAGGGAAGCTAAACACCCTTGTAATGCTGGATACACTGCATCAACTTGAGGTTTATTTTTAATTTTTGGCAGAACCGGGGATTGAACTCAGATTCTTGTGTTTGCCAGTCAAGCACTTATCCTACTGAGCCATCTCCCCAGCCCCCAACTTGAAGTTTAGAAGTTTAGCTAAGTCACTCAGCTGGGGGCAAAAGCCTTCACTTTGTAAATATCCCCAGTTTGTGGAAGAGAACAAGAGATGGTGTGGGCGGGGCAGCCTGCATACAACGTAAAGGAGGAAAAGAGCCTCACATCCACCCCCCTTCACCCTTGCTGCTTTTGCTGTCTCCTGCTGCCCTGAAGTGTTGACCCCTTGCCATTACACCCTGCCTTGGAGCCAGTCGATTACCACCTGAAACCTCCACAAACTAAAGCTAAATAAGCCTTTCCTTCTTTAATTTTGGGTGTTGGGTATTTTGTCTCATCAACAGGAGAAAAGTAACTAAGATGAAGTAGTGCCCTTGCCCTGGCTATACCTGACCACGTGTTTAAAGAGGCTTTGGTAAGGGCTGGCAAGATAGCTCAGCAGACTAAGTGCCTGCTTTGGCAAAGGAGGGACCTGGGTTTGATCCCTGGTACCCACATGCCACACTGACCCTGCCCCTGAGCATGCTGAGCTAGCCGCCGAGGCCAGGTGTGGTGGTACATGCCTATAATCCCAGGACTGGGAAGTCTGAAAACAGGAGGATCACTGTGAGTCTGAGTTGCATATTTAGACCATGTACCAAATACATTGAAAACACACACACACACACACACACACACACACACACACAAAGACCCTTTGGAAATGGCTTGTAGGAAGAATGTGGAAATGTTCACAGATGTTGCCTTAAAGAGTAGAGCTTGGGACTGGAAAGATAGTTCAATGGTCTAAGTGCCTGCCTGGCAGGCACAAGGACCTGGGTTTGATCCCTGGTACTATATGCCAAGCTGGCCACCAAAATCAGGCATGGTGATATACACCTGTAATCCCAGTGTTGGGGAGGCTGAGACAGGAGGATCACTACTAGTCCAAGCTGTGAGACCCTGCACCAAATAAACACATAAATAAATAAATAATTTGAAGTAAAATTTTTAAAAAGGAGTAGAGCTGGAGCACCTCAGCCTATTCTGTATGGGAAATTCTGGTCAGAGCTCAGACCAGAAGGCTGATAGAAATTCTGCTAGTAAAGTCCAAGTTTGGGAGTTTCTGCTGGGAAGGACTGTATTGGCTTGTGGACTCCAAATGATATATGTTACGGCTTGGCAGAAAGTTTATCTGCATTTTGTTTGTGTCCAGAGACTTTGCCTGATTGTGTGATTAAAGGCTAAAGACTGATTAATCTGGCAAAAGAAATTTTAAGGCAGTTGAATACTGAAGCAGTTGTATGGCTATTTGGGGGATTTTAGCCAGATTTATATTGAGAATCAAGAGCAAAGAGCTCAGCAGGATGATTTAAAATGTTGTGAGTGGACTACAAAACTAGAGCTGAGGAGATCTTGATTGCTAAGCAAGAATAGGCGAATAGAAAAGATGGTCTGAGAGCATCACAGGAAACAGCAGGTATCCACCAGTTGCATCTCAAAACTGCAAAAGGGAAAGCCCTTGCTTTGAGGAGAAAGCCACAGAGTGCCATGTTCCAGAATGGTGACAGAAAGTTTGGTCCTCAGAATTGGATTCAGAGTGCCCAGTGTCCAGGCACTTGATTATTATTTTTTTCTTTTTTAAATCTTTTTAATTTTAATTTTTTTTTTCAGGCACTTGATTCTTAAGCCAAGAGAGAGGAAAGCTTAGCTATTGCCGTACCTGGCAGCAGAACTCAGTGTTATCCACATGGTGTTGGTTTTAGAGGTATACAGAATGCAAGAGTTTTGAGGTTTAAAAAGTTTCCACCTTGATTTCAGAAGGCCTGGGAGGCTAGTCAGCATGCCCTTGAGAGGGTAGTTTGAGAAGCTGTGACTAAGAAGCCAAAGGTGTAGTGGAGGTCCCAGAAGTTTGGAGAAGCCAGAAATGTGGATTTCCTAAGTAAAGCTGCAAGGAAGCAGCAAAGTGGGCCTAAGAGAGAAGCCACGGGAACTATAACCGCCAGAAGTTCCATGGGTAGAGCCATCCAAGCCATCTGGAGCTCACAGTTTGCCTCAGATGCGAGACATGGAACTACAGGACTTAATGTTTGCCCTGTTGGAATTTGGACTTGCTTTGCTCCCATTCCTTTGTAGTTCCATTTATAACTTATAGAATAAAGATGTTTATTTTGTGTGGTTGAATGTTGGAAGTGTCTAACTCTCTATGTCTAACTTTCTATTTCATAGGAGCTTGCAACCAAAAGTTTGACTTATTTCTTGGATATGATTTAGGACTTGGACTTCTCAGCAATGCTGAAACTGTTAGGACTTTGGCAACTCTTATAGATGGACTGAATGTCTTTTGCATAAAGGGGTGTGCATGAGTCTTGGGGAGCAGGTTCAGAAAGTTATGTTTCTAAGGTAATATACTGCTGATAGACTTAATACTGGCTCTTGAGGATTGTTAGACCTGTGTTATCATGCTCAAGTTGTGAAATGCTAAGAATAAGCATGTCTTTGTATCAAGAAACAGGTGGTTTAAAGAAATATGTCTGTTGCCACGTTGACAAGGGGTGGATTATAGTGGTTGATACATTGTGTCAACTTGAGAATGGAGAAATTTAGAAGCTTAACTAAACTCAGCAGGGGACCAGGGTCCTCACTTTGTAAATGATGGATCTGCACCCATACAACAATCTGCCAGGTCATGGCAGTGAGCCAACATGGCAGGCAGATCCTAAACCAATCATGCATCATTCCTAGACTGATTTTTGTCTTCTTCCTCCTGGTTAACCTTGAACTTCCTCTCTTGTTTTTCTGAACCCACACCAAGCCTTCCCCAATCAGCACCTGTTATGACCCCATACTGCCCATGCCAGCTCCACCCCCAACCCAGTCCAATAAATTTTTTTGTCTCCCCAAGGGGTTCTTGCTTTTTTTTTTTTTTTTGTGGCCAGTTCAACCTGCCCTGGGGGCAGGGCTGATGCGGCATGTGGTGCCGGAGATTGAACCGTAGTCCCTGAGCTTGCCTAAGCAGGTGCTTTAGACCACTGAGCTATCTTGCCAGCCCTCTTGCTTCTCTTCAGCAGCCCTCTCACACCTAGCAATAAAGGATTTCTTTACTTCTCTCTCACTTCCTTTTTTTTGTGCCAGTTTGAATATTCTGTATCTGAAATGATTGGCATCAGAAATGTTTTAAATTCCAGAATTGTTTAGATTTTGGAATATTTGCATATGCATGATGAAATTATCTTGGGTGTAGGACCCAAGCCTAAACACAAAATTCACTTGTGTTTCATATATATCTTATACAGATAGCCTGAAGGTAATTTTACACAACATAATCAATAATTAAATGCAAAATTTCCATTTACAATCTGGTTGTTGCTCAGAAAGTTGCAAATTTTGGAGGATTTAAGTTTTTAAACTTTCAGAGTAGGGATGTTCAACCTGCATGTTGTGGTCTAATTCCTGATCAGGAAGATTATCTATCATCTATCTATCTATCTATCTATCTATCTATCTATCTATCTATCTATCTATCTATCTTTTTGAAACAGGGTTTCACTATGTAGTTCAGGCTGTCCTTGTACTCACTTTGTAGCTCAGGCTGGCCTTGAATTCTCAGCAATCCTCCTGCCTCAGCCTCTCAAGTGCTGAGGTTACAGACATGAATCTTCACTCCTGGCCATACCAATTTAATTTCTTAAAAGTTCTCTCTGCTTGATTTTTAATCACAGCATATATGATTTGCACCCATGTGACAGTACAGATTCACCCTTTGAGAAGTCTTGTTAGCTTTTTGATAGACAATTAGGAAATTAGTAGGTAAAGAAATCTAAGACTTTGACTAAGGGCCAGCCAGATAGCTCAGCAGACTAAAGCACCTGCTTAGGCAAATGCAGGGACCGGGGTTTGATCCCTGGCCTGTTGTGCCAGCCTCCCCTCTCCCTGGCACACACTGAGATGGCAATTGAGGCTGGGTGTGGTGGCACGCCTCTGTGATCCCACTGCTTGGGAGGCTGAATATATATATATATATATATATATATATATATATATAATTGAAATTTGAGAAGCTTGATTTGGTATCTTCCCTTAGCTAAGAGAAACACTTAGTTCCCTTTAAAATACATTTGCATTTCCAGTGGTAGTGAGCAGACTGACAGTGGATTGTTTTCTGTGATTAAGAATGGACTATCCAGAGCCAGGGAGATAGTAGAATAAGCACCTGCCTGGCAAATATAGGGTCCTGAGTTCAATTCCTGGCACTGAAAAAAAAAAATGGACTATCTAAGGGCCGGCCAAATAGCTCAGTGGATTAAAGCACCTGCAAGCAAGTACAAGGGCTATGGGTTCAATCCCTAGGCCTGCCATGCCAGCCCCACCACTGGGGTGCAGTGAGACAGCAATTGAGACTAGGCGTGGTGGCACACACTAATCCCAGATCTTGGGAGACTGTAAATAGGCAGATCGCTATGAATGCAATCTAGTAGTGAGACCCTGAATGCCCTGTAGATCCTTCCTAAAAAAAAAAAAAAAAAAAAGAATGGACTATCTGAAGGGACCAGCAATATAGCTCAGTGGTGCAGTTCCTGCCTGGTAAGTGCAAGGTCCTGAGTTTACTTTACTGCACCCCCCTACATCCAAAGAATGGACTATCCAGAAGTGAGTGAAAACAGAGGCCCTAGGCTCCCCTCTCTGCCGACACCTTCTGGTTGATTGTTACTCTCCCTACCTGTACCACAAGGCTTTTAAAATAGTTTCCTGACATTTTTCATGTCCAGGTTTGATGCAGGATGATGGCAACTGGAACATTTCTTGATGGAAGAAGGTGCGAGGTAAAGAGACTGAAAGAAAGGGGGAAGCTGGGAGAACCACCTACTCTGCCACATGCCTTGTGGCTCTGAAAGATGAGACGTATGTCCTGCACAAACTCCTTCACTCGGAAGTACTTCTCCTCCCTCAGCCTGACCTTGATCATGCTTAAATCCATGCGCTCCTGTTGGCCTAGAGTTGCATCTTTGATCTGTTGGGAGAACAGCAAAAGGCGGGGGCTGTTGGCATGTTTTCCAGTCCGCCTTCCCTAGACTCCCACCGCTGTGGTCTGAACCTTTGTATCCCCACTCCTTCCCACTCATAGGCTGAAATCTCCATCCCAAGGTGACAGTGTTAGGAGGTGGACTGTTGGGAGGTCATTAGGTCATAAAGGTGGGCTCTTCCTGAGTGCAATCAGAGCCCCTACTGTGATTCTAGGGACCCCCCCCCCTCAAGTGGAACAGAGGAGGCAACCGATCTGCACTGGAAGAAGGTCTTCGTCACAATCCCACCATGCCACCACCCAAACCTCAGACTTCCAGTCTCCAGAACTGTGAGAAATACGGATCTGTTGTACACAGGCAGTCTATAGTAATTTGTTACAGTGGCAGGAACAAAGTCAGCTGCCAACAAAGCAAAGGTAAGGGCAACTTGTTCAGATCAGGAGTTCGACAAATGCAAGTTTCTAGCTTAGGTGCTGTTATTTACATAATACTGTGTTGTGAAAGAGAAGGTACTTACCGCATAGCAGTAGACCTTCAAGAGGAGTAGCTCACATTTCTGCAAAATAAGGAGGAGACTTTAAGTGCAAAATAGCTTAGGGTGAAAAAATCAGTGCCAAGTCCAGATAGAATAGGTGACTTTTGGAGCTTTGGACTCCGAGAGTGGGAATTTCCTTGCATTGGAGACTCTGGACTATGGATTTTGGTGCTAGGTCATGGGATACAAGGACAGCAGGAGAAGGTGACTTGTCTTTGGGCATCGTTCCCTAGTTTGCAAGACGGGGGCTCCTCCTTGTGAGCCCCAGGGCCCCACCCACTCACCAGCTGATCCTCATCACTCATCTCCTTCATCAGCACCTCAGATTCCTGGAGGCATGGTTGGCTGTCTCGGCACCTTTTCCGAATAGCCTCTGTCTTGCAGAAGACACAGCTCCATGGGTCTCTGAGAGGTTATGTATAAGGTGAGAAACACTGGGCAGGGGCTGGGAATCAGCCCCCACTCCTCCAGCTCCTGGGGCTTTCTGCTCAGGAATGACGTGGTTATCATCTTGTATACAGTTTCTCTCGTGAGGCCAGGGCACTAAAATTCTATCTGGGCTCCACAGCAAATGACATCCCCTTTCACCATAGTGGTGACAGGGTGGTAATGTGTTGGTGAGATGTCCCAGCCTCAGAACTTGGGGTTCTCATTTGACTCACTCTGAGCTTGAGCATGAACCCTGATCATCCCAGTTGAGTACTGGAATTTAGTACCTTAAAATGGGAGTGCTAGAGCCATAGTAAGCAGGATCCACAGAAAAATCAGGACACCAGTCCTTGCTTCTCAACCCTGCTGGATAAGCACGGAGCATGAGCTATGGATGTTCTCCTCTCTGCTGCTGCCTGATCAATATCTTGAATCTGTGCTGCAGAAACTTCTTGGAAAGGAAATCTACAGCCTGAGTGTCAGATCCATTTGGCTGAAGAGTTGTTCTCCTTCACTACCACCCTCCATGCTGGGAGAGTCTCAGCAATCAGGGAGACAACAACGTGCTGTCCTTGCCTTGTCAGCCTCTCTCTGGCCACCCAGAGCTTGCTCAAGGGTCCACCACAAAATACCCATCATACTGAGATGGGAGCTACATGTGGAATAGAAAAAAGGAGGCGAACTACTTTCTGCCTCTGCGGATTGCCCAGCTGGCCAAAAGCAGAGAGTTCCGTTGCCCCTCTGAGCTAGTGCCCTGGGAACAGGTGGGTCACATTAGACCTTTCCCATCATGGAAGGTCAACACTGTCCTCACAGGACACATTCCTGGTAGGTCTCTCTGCAGGCTGCGGTAATTCCACCTCACCTCAGCACCACTCAGAGCTTTTGTCAGTATCAGTGGCATCCTGCAGTCCCCACCACCTCTGTCCAAAGACACATTTACAGCCCAAAAATGTGCATCAGAAACATTCCTCCTCCAATGGAATTCTGCAGTCTTATCCTGTGCCCTGTCACCCAGAGCCAACTGAATTGATAAGAGTGGGATGGACCTCCAAAGGTTCATTACAATGTCAGCTTTATCACCACTGTGATGTCCTCATAGCAGGTGGTGTATGCAAAACTCAGTCACCAGTGTTTAACATTATGGCTCCATCAGAGCACACAGGTTCAGGAGCTGAGAAGATGAGGTAAGATAACAGCCCTCGGGATCACACTTAGGAACTACTTGAAGAACCTTCGCTTCCCACTAACCTGCTACTTTCAGTACTGTTAGAGTGCTCTGGGTGACATTTTTGGATCTTGATGCTAAGGGATCTGCCCCCTCTGCATCAAAGCCCAACTAGCGATGGAAACTGAGCAGGATGTGTACAGAGGGACAGAAGGAAGAAAGACGCGGGGGGCGGAGAGGACAGCGTCTCACTCACCGCTTGGTGTCCACAGATGGGATGTGGCAGTGCTCGTGATAGGATTTTGGGCAAGTATCGCAGCAGTACAGCTGTCCCCCTTGGCTACACACTTCACATTCATTTGAGTTTTCTGGCTAGAAGGGAAAATGATGTAGATAATATTTGGATCCCTGAGAATTTAGGAGGTTGTCCTGTTGAAACTCTAGGATAAGTGGCCATGCATGTACCAAGATGGCACTTGTTGATTATTGTCCTCATACTATGAAGGAGCAGTATGAGTGGAGATTTATTTTAGAAGAAGGCATTGTGGACCACAGCAAAGTCCAGGAGAGACTTTAATTTATTAATTTTAATTAATTTGCTATGTGTGTCCTGAACAGAAAAACAATATTTTGAAGACAATGATTCTGACACCGCATAGGTAGCAGCACCAACAAACAAAAGGATGAGTTAAGCGAATCTAATTACTTGGCTTGGAGAACGTGAGCCATGAGTGCTATGTCATTCCTAGTTGCCCAGATCTAAATTTACTCCTCAGAGGGTGATCTACTGAAAATTTGATATAATGTAACACACTGAGATATCGCTGCATCCTACAGCCTTGGTCATAAATTCCTCATGGGTTGAACAGTCTAAGCAGTTCTTAGACTGGGGCTTCTATTCCTGTGACAGTGCCTCTCGGATGGAAAGACCAGTGTACAGATGGCCAGGTGAGCATCAGGGAGGACACGGCCTTCGGGTCTGGGAGTCTAGGGGAAGGCCTCCCATGACTCATCCAGGCTGGCCCATGAGGTATGGGGGCACCATCTCTAAAGTCAAAGGACTATTGTGGCAACTACCCAGTTAACTGCCTCTATCTTCATTTTCTGGGCCCATGAAAGAGCTGGAGTTCTGTTCTATAAAAGAAAAATGGATGGTACTGAAAAATTGACCAATACTAACCAATCTCAATATAAACCTGACCTTTAGCCAGATTTAGTTATATTTCAGTTTTTTTTTTTTTTTTTTATGTATTGGAACAGAGTCTCACTATGCAGCTTGGACTCATAATGATCTTCCTGTTTTCAACCTCCCCAGTGCTGGGATTACAGGTATGCACCATCATGCCCAGACTTGCTGGCTGGTTCAGTGCTCCCAGGGGGAGGGCTGGTGTGGCATGCGGTGCTGGAATCGAACCCTGTTCGCTGCACTTGCCTAAGCAGGCACTTAGACTGCTGAGCTATCTCGCTGGCCCTGGATTTAATTATATTTAGTGCAGTGAAAAGTTTGGCAATATTTGCACATGGGTATTGTAGAATGATTCACATATGTTACACACAATAGGACTCTGTAAGTGACAATAAGAATTTAAGGAAGGAGCGCACTGGCGGGCAAGGGAAGTCACGCCTGTCCCCTTTCTGGTGATACTTGATGCAGCAGCTATAGTGCCTGTGTATGAAGCTTGTGTGCTGGAGAAACATCTGGAAGCATGGCCCCTTGCTCTTCTTCTGGCACCACAGGAGCAGGAGGAGTGCATCCTGAGGTGCACTGTGTGACAGAGAGGCTTTTCCTCCAGGGGCAGTGTGTCTATCCCAGTGCAGTATCCCCCTGTGCTGGGGCCTGTGAGGAGGCTCTCATATCCTTGGGTGACAATCTAAGTTCCATGAACAGCCTCATGTGGGGGTGGGGGTGGGGGTGGGGGTGGGGGCTGCAGTTGGGGGGGTACTGGGAGCACTGTCCCCTTCTAGAAATGCTCTATGCTTCTCTCCATGACCCTCTGCTCTTCCGGGTTATTTTCCCCTTCACATTTTCTTTCTTTGTAGGTTTCACAGTTAGAATGTGGGGCTTGCTCAGGGCTTGCTTCTCTGTCCTTTTTTCATCTCACTTTTCTCAATGAATGGCTTTTCCCATGAGCACATTTAGCACACGTATCCTCCAACCTTTTGATCCATCTTGAGCCTGCAAACATGCAAAACCTGCATCTCACCCTCTCTAGTGAGAACTTCCCCTTGTGGGCACAGTTCCTGTCCTAGGTCTTCCTGTCTGGAGTCTCCTCTATGTTCCCTACTTCCACAGCCACCCACTATCCAGCCACAGCCTGCAAGTGAACCCCAGTCACTCCGCACCCCCATCTTAGACACCGAGCTCTGCACCACTCCTGGCGGGCCTAAGTTTTAAACACCTCACCTCTCTCAGAGCTGCTGTAAGGGCTGCTGCTGTAGGATTCAGAGATCCCACTTACAATACTGTCAGCTGAAGCCACGTGTGCTGCTGCTTAAGTTAAAATCATAACAGTTAGGAATATCATTCCTGGACTCTAATGAGCCGAGGTAAATTCAACTGTAATTAGAAATTTCTCTATTTATAAATTCAGGACAAACAAGCCACAAAAGTTGCACATATGAGCAAATTCTAGGCTGCCAGGGCAACAGGGCCCAGAGGCTGTCTTGCAGCAGAAAACTCGAGTGGCCGGGAGAGCCATCGTTGGGCTCACCCTCCCAGGCTGCCTCAGGTTGCCTGAGCGCGGATCTTGCAACTGTCTTTCCTTTTTGTCACCACAGGGAGATGCAAGTGTGCTGCAAAGTGCCAGTGAACTGAGTCCAGGGTTTTGGGTCATCCTGATGATACAGAGTGAGTGGGTCTGAGCAAGCAAAAACGATGCAGTCAGTGCTGTTCTTGGAGTCCTGTCACCTGAGAAGACTGCAGGCTTGAGCTATGTCTCTTTATTATTAAATAATCATTACTATTATTATCACTATCATTACTACTATTAAATTTGTAGTGCTGGGGATGGAACCCGGGGCCTAGCACATGCCAGCCTAGTGCTTCACCACCCAACTCTTTCTCCAAGACCCCTCTTCAATCATTTCAGCAAGAAATTTGTTCTTTTGGTCAGTAGTGATTCTCAATCTGTTCTCCAGACTTTCAGAATTACCTGAGGAGCTTTTTTTTTTTTTTTTAAAAAAAAGCTGGAGTGGTATGGCTCAGTGGTAGAGAACATTCCTAACATGCATTAGGCTCCTGGTTCAGTTCTCAGTACAACAAAAAACAAAAACCAAAACAAAATCCAGGGCCCTATGGCCAGATATTTCAGTTCTGTCTGGATTGGGCCTGGGATGCAGGAGTGTTTCCCACACCCCCAGAGTGCCCTAATGTACTGTCATGCAGCAGTTTCTGGACCAGCAGCAGCACCTGGATTTAAATTTCATTTATTTATTTGTTTATTTGGTACAGGGTCTTACGATGCAGCTCAGACTCGTGACCCTGCTGTCTCACCCTCCCCAGCACTGGGATTGCAAGCGTGCATTACTATGCCCAGTTTCAGTGGCTGGCTCAGCAGCACAGCATCCGGTGCTAGGGAGTGAACCTGGGTCCTTGGGCTTGCCAGGTAGGCGCTTAGACCATGTAGCTTTCTTCCCAGCCTTTAGACCATGTAGCTTTCTTCCCAGCTCCAGCACCTGAATTTGCTAGAAATGCACATTTTGGGCTCCACCCCCTACAGGATGAGTCAGGGGCACAGGTGGAGCTTGGGCAGCTTGATAGGAGTGACACTAGAAGGAGCAACATCAGCTTGCAGCCACTCACAAAGGTGGGTGTGTTGAAGAGCCACTGAGGGAGGCTAGGAAAAGTATGCATCGCAGGTGGCACTGAGCACAGTGAGTTGCTCTGTCCCAGGGGCTGCAGTGCAGTGCACAGCCGGGTAGAGAGCCTGAGTTCTCCCCAGCAAGGGTGGGACAGTCTGAAGGAAGTCACCGTTGGCCCACAAGTTTGGCAGTAGTGAGGTCATGGATGGAGAGCAGATGTTCAGTTGTTTTTCTTGTCTTCACAGAGGACTTGGCTGTGGGCTTCAAGAAAAACCTATGTCTGCCTGTCATGAAACAAGTTACACAGACCTAGAAGTGGAAGTGGTGTCCCACCACCAAAGCTCACTGCTCTAGCAGACGAACTGGAATTCCACCAAGTATGGACTTCTCTGGATCTTGCATGGGCAATGCATTTGCCAGGAAGCCAGAGGGCATGGTGGCCTCATTTCTGTCCCATCTCTGCAGGTGTCCTGTGTCCGGCTGCACAGTGATCTAGAGGGAGACATGCCTCTTACAGTTGTGCAGAAGGTAGGCCCTGAATAAAATGCCTGCCCAATTGCCACAAGAAGAACCGAGGTAAGAGCTAGCTGTGGACAGGTAAGGTTTTGGCACCATACTGTAAGCAGAGATGGCACAGGGCCTGAGGGACCAGAATGGGAGGTGTGCGATTCAGCCCCAGCCAAGCGGGTCCAGGAAAAGTGGCCCATGGCTGGCTAAGCAGTGATGACTTGGCTCCTGTCAGACCAGCCACAGGGGTGTCATGAGGCTCCACTGCCCTGTGCATCTCTCTGCAGGACTAAGGACAGGGTTCCCACCTTCAACTCACCAGCAGGGCCTCACCTGTCCTTTTGGCTGATATTTAAGACCACCTTGGGCTCTGCCACCACCTCCAGGCAGCACATGTTGGGGGCTTTCCTATTCCAACCTCACTGTCTTCTTTAAAAGCTGTTTTCCACTCAAATTTGCAGCCTGCCCATCATCTGCAGGCCAGCTCTATCCATGCCTGCTTCAAGCTGTCCCTAGAGACCCCAGTGCTATAGACCTCTGCCTCCCACGTTCGCTTTTGAGAGGACATGAGTGTGTGCAATTTTTGCACTGAAAGAGACAGAAAGGACCTTGTCAGTGGAGAAGCCCAACGCCAGACCCTGCACCCAGCTGAGGCACGGCTGGGACTCCCTGCTCCTCACACACAGCAACGTGCTCCACCTGAGAGTGAGACTGTGAGGAGCAGGGAATCTGGGAGAAGCAGCGGTGACACAGGTGATGTGCATAGGCGAAGGCAGGGCTATTGCGATGGGTTATAACTGGGAACCAGTACTTACATAAGGGTCTGCTGGGATATTGATGGGAGGGTCCGGTGTTCTCCGCTGAAAGAGACAAAGATTGAGTGACAATATTGAATGTGATATTTCATCAATCACACATTGGTCACTTCCTTTATTTAAGGGATTTATGCCACAGCCTTCCCTGTGCTTTGTTTCACATCTGCTTTTATGAGCCCTCATACTGAACTGGAGAATAGAAACTATTAGATTATGTGCCCACGAGTTCAGCTCAGGGCAAGTTCCACTCCCCAGCCCTCAGGGCCAGGTGAACCTTCAGGAGCCCTTACAGGGAGCCTGGCACTCCTTTCCAGGCTGAGCTGGAGAAGCTCCACCAATTCTCCTACTTGGAGGAGCCCCCAGGCAATTGTCTTTAAATTAGGAAGTGCCACCCACTGGGAGGAGCATCCCTGAGGACGCATCCTCCAGGACCACAGGGACCACAAGGTCCGGAATCGTGGAGGCCTTGCCAGGGAAGAGCTCCCTGCCTAGGAACGTAGCCCTGGAGATAGTGCCCCAAGGTCCCAGGTTAGCCTCTTCCTGAAGGCAGGCACCTTCCCACTTTGTCCTGCATTCCAGGAGCTTGCTCCACCCACTCTCTGGAGCTGGCTGGCTGTGTTTGGTCTTAATGAACACATCCAATAACGTCTCTGCAGAAAACCCTGTGGATACGGGACTCAGTCACTGAATCTCTAATCATCAAGCCAGTGGTGCAGGCAACCCCGCAATCTAACTTTGTGAGGACTGCTCTTGTGATGTAACAGAGATTCTAAAGGTCACTGCTGTCAAGGATTTTAGAAATGGCAGTTCTAACTTCTCTTCCTTTACCAGGTTCTAGGGCGGCGACCTGGTGCGGCGGTCTTGGCGCAGGGCCGCGGAGCGCGAGGTCGCCAGTTGGCGCCCCCGTCCCTTTACCAGGTTCTGTTTTATATCCATTCTTACAGAGGCCATAGAAAATAGCAGGAGCCCCACTCCTTTCTCTGGAGTCTGCATAGCATGGGTATCAGTGGTGCATAGCCTGCACTTTATTTTTACTATATATATATATATATATATATATATATATATAATTTTATTTTTTTTATTTTATTTTTTTGTGTGTGATACTAGGGATTGAACTCAGGCCCTTGCACTTGCCAGGCAAGCACTTATCCTACTGAGTTATCTCCCTGGCCCATGATGTCTTCCACATAGGGAGAAATCAATGTGAGGGATGGAAGTGAAGTCTGCATAGCCTGTCTGGTAGGGCCAGAGGCTCTCTCCATGAAGGAAAGATTTTCCATGTCAGCAGCTATATTGTCAGTTTTGTGTTACTATAACAAAATAAAAGAGGCTGGGTGACTATAGAAAAAGAGGTTCATTTAGTTGACAGTTCTGGAGGCTAAAGGACCCTTCTGATAATAGTCTTCTTGCTTGTGGAGTCCCAAGGTGACACATGAAAAGAGAGATAAAGAAGGTCCTCACAAAATTAGATTCTGGGTTGCCTTCCTCACTGATTTCATGATTAGAGATTCAGTGGTTGAGTTCTGTATTCACAGGGTTTTCTGCAGAGACATTATTTGATGTATTCATTAAGAGTAAACATGAAGGCCAGCCAAATAGCTCAGCAGATTAAAGCACCTGCAAGCAGGCTGGAGGTTCAGTCCCTGGGCCTGCCCCCAGAACGCACTGAGATGGCAATTGAGACTGGGTATGGTGGTGCGCACCTGTGTTCCCAGCTCTTGGGAGGCTGTAAACCGGTGGGTCACTATGAGTCTGATCTAATAGTGAGACCCTGAACACCCTATAGACCCTTCCCTAAAATACAAAACAAAAAAAAAGAAAGAAAGAAAGAAAGAAAAAGAAAAAAGAAAAAAGAAAAGAAAGAAAAGAAAAGAAAAGAAAAGAAAAAGTCCATCCAGCTCCAGAGAGTGGGTAGGAGAGCTTCTGGAATCCAGGATGAGGTGAGAAGGTAATTACATTCAGCAACAGGGTAACCTGGGACCTTGGGCACTGTTATCTTCAGGGCTATGTTCCTAGGCAGGGAGCTCTTCTATCTCTCCCAGACAGACAGACAGACAGACAGACAGACAGACAGACAGACAGAGCACACAGGAGTTCCTATCCTTTAGTGTCTCATGTTTCTTATAAGTGAGAGTCTTTTGTGTCTATGTCTTATATTCTGGGTAACCACTTTTAAGGTAAGGATACACACTGTATTAAGTATCCTTATTCTCTTGTCTTGCTATGAAATTTGGTTTTGTTTTCACATAAAATTGAAAAATAATATAATTTTTAAAAACGACAATAATACCCCTGATGACATAATGATTCTAAATTCTAGTCATCTCCCAGAGGCCCCACCTTATTAGCACTATAGTTGGACTGATTTTCTGTCCTCTTTACTCCCTCACAATTGGGATTAAATTTCAGCATCTGAAGCCTGGGGACACGTTCAAAGCACATCAAACCTAGCCTCTGCCTCACGGGGCTCTTGTGCCTCCAATCACTATCATCTCAGGTGAGACTCAAGGAGAAGACTTCTCTCAATGAGTTCTCTCTCTCTCTCTCTCTCTCTCTCTCTCTCTCTCTCTCTCTCTCTTTCTCTGTAGAGTGGAGGAAAGACAGAAAGAATGGTAAAGATGATTTTCCATTGTTATTTGCTTCTCCGGATGATACGACTTCCAAGGAGAATTTTACATTAGGCATCTGGAGTGCCCACAGGACGTGTCCAGGAAAACCTATGCTCTGTTGTTATTTTATTAAAGATAGAACCCAGGAAAAACAAGAAAAGACAACCATGTTTAAGCTGAGGTTGCAAAGACAGGGGTCATTAAATGTATTGTTTTGTGCATTTCAAAATTGTGCTTGTTTTTCCAGTTTCAGCTTTTATATTCAATTGTAAGAGAGCCTGGCACTTGGGTCTTTTACTAACATACATACACAAGGCCAGTTTTATCTTACAATTTATTTTAAAGACGTGTTCTCACCTCTACCACATGTGTTTTAATGCTGGAAGAAGTCTTGGCCTCTTCTGTTGTATCATATTTGAAAGTAAAAACCATAACAGTACCATATTATAAAATCAAATTTTATCGGGAGTGGCCAGATAGTTTAAACTCTATATGGCTACAGAGATGGAAAATCAGCAAGGTGACAGATGAGATGTTGGCAAAATGGTATGGGATTATTACCTTTCCCTTTTTGCTTGGCGGCTCCGGTAGGTATCCTTTCTGGAAGAGAGCACAGATTGGTGAGCTAATGGGTCTTTTTGTGTTGTGGGCCTGGCCCTCCCGGTTGCTTTCCAGACATTTCAACCTGGCTTCTCACTGGGAACTCAAGGTGTCTTCATGTGGGTCATTTTCCACACTGCCCAGTGATTCGTGGACACATTTAAGTGCACTCTTGTGGCCTCGGGACTGCCACAAACAGCTCAGCAGATGAAAGGGCCCTTGTCACTGCCACCTTCCTCACACGTCCAGGAGCGGATTTTCATGCCATCCTTTCTCTGTATACAGGGTGGCCTGGCCTAAATCTTGCCTTGTTGGAGCTGTTCTCCAATAAGACCTAGCTCAGAACACACTGCTCTGTGATGCTGTCCTCACCCTCCAAGGTGCAAGTGACCTTCCCGCCCTGGCGCTCCTGCCCCGCTTCCTGTGAAGTGATGCCCTGCAGTCCGGGCGTGAATGCAAATGTGCACCTTACGCTGGCCAGCAGTCCCCCACTTTTCTCCCTCATGGCCTTAGCTGAGGCTCAGGAGATTTTTCTGCATTGTTAGAGTGATCCAAGGAGGACAGAAAGCACCGTCCAGCCGCAGAGACCTGTCCCTGATTTTTCCATATCAGGAGTTGATAAAAAGGAGAAAAGGAGTTAATTTAAAATGCAATTTAATATTCTTCTCCCAGAGAAAATTTGAGGGACCTCAAGGTGTAGGTGAGTGGTAGAACACTTGCATAGCGCATGTGAGGACCTGGGTTCTAGCCCTTGCAACATAGAAATATTTTTTAAAATGTTATAAGATGAAAATGAAGTAGCTTAACAAAAAAATATAGTTGAAATCACCTACAACCTAGGGGCTAGTCACGCTAATGTACTGTTTTGTACCATTTGTATGGTGCTACTTTTAACATTGGCTCACAGAATTTAAGGAACTCTGCTGCCACTCCAATTTAAGTCATTCCCATGTCACCAAATTGGATAGTTAATTAACAGCAGAGTCAAGGCTACAATTTACTTCCCCGCCTTTGAAAGAACATGAATTAATTGATTTACAAGTCTGAGCTGGAATATAAGCCAGCCAAGGTAACACCCTGTTCTGTTAGCAATAGCATCTGCGTTGTGACCCCAGTAAAGGGAGTTGTGACAGTTTTCTGGACACAGAAATTCTGCTAAAGCTTGATGGTGAATCACGACGGTTCTAGCCTTGTTTGAAGCCACTTGGCCTTCCCATACCTCCAGCAGTTCTTTCAGTTTCCAGCCGTGGCAGCGCAAGCTTAGCTTCCAGTTCTTGGAGGGTGCATAGTTTCCTTCAATTTCAAACTCCCTGGGGGTGAACCACCTTCCATCCTCACTCTGGATGCTCTTCTTCCAGATTCCTGTAAGAGCAAGACAGGCTGAGCCCCTGCCTAGGAAACACCTCCTCTCGGCCTCCTGGGCCCTGGGGCTCCATGCCCAGTGTGCAAAGCAAGGAGAGAAGGGATCCCCTGCCTTAGGTGTGTATTTGCTTCACCTTCATGCAATCAGGAGAGCAATTACTGCTGATACTGCTTTTTAAAAGTATTTCACTCTATTAAGAAGAGATAAAATGAATGACCCTAAATAATGAGCTGAATTCTTCCTCCTCTTTTCTCTGTGCCCCAGGACAGAGCCAGCCTGAGTTTCAGAGAGACACATGAGGACAACTACCCCTGCCCTCCTTCCGCTGAGCTTTTTTGAGTCCTGGTTGCTACATGAAAGCTGTCATTACTGTCTCATTGACCTTGTCTTATATGACGTTGGTCCAGCTAAAGACAACCAATTATTGCTCAAATTTTGGGCTGCTGACAATTTGGTGTTTCCAGTCATTATGGAAGAGTTAACTAGAGGGTAAAGTTAATCACACAGGGACACCAGGGTCACAGTGTAAACATGTATACTTGTTGGCATCCATACCACTGTTATGTAGGAGAGAGGATCAATCATGATCGATGAATATTGGTACCACAGCAATTCTAATTCGCAAAATATTTTATGGCTACTATCTTAGTTTTTCCCATAAGACTATGCTGAAAAAGTTTTATAAGGAAGTTCAGGGTCAGAGAGATAGAGTGGCTTGCTGCAGGTGACTGACGCTGTGTGCGATGGACTGGACACACTTCCGGTGTGTCGCTCCCCCAAGGCTTGTAGGTGGAAGGCTTGGTTCCCCAGTGTGGTGAGGTGATAGCTGGGGGTTCTTTAAGAGGGAGACTAATGGGAGGTTTTAGGTTCTTGAGGCCACTGCCCTTGGGAAGGAGTAAGGTAGTGTTCAGAGGATCCCGGATCATCCCCCATTATCTGGATTTCTGTCTCGTGGTGGTGTGCCTTCCTTCTACACATTTGCCAATAGAATCTCACCAAAGGCCCAACACATGAGGATCTTGTATTTGAGCAAACCTCTTTTCTTTCTGAAGTATCCTGCCTTTGGTATTTTGTTGTAGAAAAAGAAAATGGACTGATACATTGTTAGTAGCGCTGAAATTTGAATGCAGCTCTTGGGTTTGTGTGTGTGTGTGTGTGTGTGTGTGTGTGTGTGTTTCCTATGTTAAGTCTGGTCTCTTCCCACTTAGCTGAAGACTGAATGGGTGTTTTAGAAAAGGGGCCTGTCAAGCTTGATGTTGAATAGTTTCAGACATCGCCATTTTTTCATACAGGTGTTAAAGTGCCTGCTCTTGTATTAGGTGACAGACAGGCATCTGGTGGGCCATTTCCATGGGTGAAAGTGACATGGTTTGGAAGACTAGCATTTTACCAATTTAAAAGTGAAAACGCTACCATTACTGCAGCCCATCTGGTGTGCTGTGCAGAAGAGTTACCACGGCAGGCCAGGCCTACCTTTAGAAGCGCTTTGGTGCAAGTTTGGCCCTTGGCTAGTATTTGGGGATGTGGGTTTGGGGAGCAGTTCTACTCTCCCCAGAACTGATGGAAGTGGCTTGCTTTACCTCAACTCTTTACACCCACAACATGGTTCCTGCAGAGCCCCTGCTTTTCTCCCGGGAGGCTGGAATTCTGGCGTGGGCCAGGCAGAGGCGCCTATGAAGCTAACTCTGACCAAACCCCGGCTCCTGTGCTCAGGCCAGCTTCCTGGGTAGGAAACATCTTGCATGTGTTGTCGCATTTGGTTGCTGGGAAACTGAGGGAACCCTGGTGACTCCCTGCGACAGCACCCTTGGCTGCCTCTGGACTTCCCCATGTTTCTTTTCCCTTTGTTGACTTTGTACCACATTCTTTCAAAATTTAGCAAAACCTGGGGTGGGGTGAGGTGACTGTATCTTGAGTCCCAGCAATCCCCCGTTAGTCATCAAGACCCAAATTGGGCTCTGTGACCCCAACACAAGTAGCCACTGCCTCAGCACTACTCTATTCCTGGGGCACCGTGCTGCTGAAAAGCTTGGGGACCCATAAAACTCACCGTGCTTAAACAGGTCCTTAATCAGAGTCCCCCTAGCATTACCGCAGGTCACGGGAAGTTCAGGAACATGAAAATTCACATGTGTTTCTCTGAAAATTCTAGGACCTGCAAAAAAAAGAGTTAACTTTTTATTCATTCCATCTTCCTCTAAAACTCCCTAACTCCTCCCTTCTTTTTCTTTTTTTTTTTTTTTTTTTTTTTTAGGGAAGGGTTCTACAGGGTGTTCAGGGTCTCACTACCAGATCAGACTCATAGTGATCTGCTTGTTTACAGCCTCCCAAGAGCTGGGATTACAGTCTTGCATCACCACGCTCAGTCTCAATTGCCATCTCAGCATGCCCCAGGGGCGGGGCCAGCATGGTAGGCCCAGGAATCAAACCCCAGGCCCCTGCGTCTGCTTGTAGGTGCTTTAATCTGCTATTTGGCTGGCCCTTCCTCTCCTCTTTTATAACCTCAAAATGCATTGGCTTTTCCCCAATTAGGTGCATTCCGTGGTCTTTCTTTAGTGGCAGATTAGATGCCCATAGGCAACGCCATACTCCACCCCATGCTCCACATGTATCACACAGCCTTGTGGGAAAAATCTGAGCCCCAAACTTGTTGACTCAACTATTCATGGCACAGTGATTTTCTCCTGATGTTTTGAAGGGACAGTTCTGGTCATATTATGGCTTTGAAACTAGGTAGATGGAGAAAATAACTTGAATTTTAATCAAGTCTCTGCTTTTGAGTTATCAACTCAGGGAACAGCAAAATGGTGGCAGTGGGCACCTAAGAGGGCACTGTCTGTCTCTCCCTTCAGTCTCTGCTTTGCTCTACTGCGTCACCTGAGCTTTCTCAGCAGCTGAGGGCAATGGCTCTAGGAGAGACAGGTTTTCTGAGGGAGCCCTGCATACCATGTGGGGCCACTGGGGTTTTGAGTCCACTGGAGCTTGTACCGAAGGCCCTAAAATGAACTTCCACAGTAATGCTGCCACTCCTGTCCTTCTAGCCAAGGCTGGGGATCCATCAGGGACAAGCTGGGCTTCTCTCTCAGGTGAGGACAGTGGGCCTTCCACAGTCTGCTTCACATACACACAGACCATCCGATCTTGGTGACCCTACCAGGACATTTTATTTACTTTACCCATCACCCTCTCCTCTGTCTTTACAGATGAGGAAACTGAGTCAAAAAAGACAAATCCCAGCTAAAGTTAATGGTGAAAGTCAAAAGAATTGTAAGAATTAGAACATAGGTCTTATAATATTGCCACCAAGAGTTCATTTCTAGGCAGAAGCCATGGCTTTCCACATAGGCAAGACAAAGGTGTGCCAGCTATCAGCATGGTGAAGCTGGGTGCAGACCAGGCGGCCTGCGGTCCTAGACTGACTCATCCATGGAATGGGAGATATCACTAGTTTGTCATGTCTGTGAAGAGCCTAATATTTGCTACTGGTGCCATAAGCCAGTAGAGAAACCTGAGAACATAGAGCAGGAATGAAGATATTTAATTATTAAAAGTTCATCGGGGCTGGTGAGATGGCTCAGTGGTCTAAAGCACCTACTTAGAACAAGCTTAGCAAAGCACAGGGACCGCGATTCAATCCCCCAGCACCACATGCCAGCCA